AACTTACGACAGGGTTCTGTTCTGATGACTCCATCATAAGTCGGTTCTGACATAAGTTGAATCCCTCATTTTTTTTTTTGTTTTCATTATGATTGCCTTTTATTATCAGTATCTTTATAAATCCCATCTTTAATTGTCTTTGGGGGTTGGAAACATTACACACAAACTTAAGAGATATATTTTAATACATACATATATAAAGAACACACAAATCATGAAGAAAAGTTGGATGGCATTGGCATTTTGTCAGTTTCGGTAATAACTCCACTTGTGGAAGGTTCTGGATCATTTGGATTATTCCTGGGAATGAGGATGGCGTTTCTAATCAGAAAATTAGTGAGAACTGTCTATATTGTCCTTTTATTTTTTTCTTCATATATTTTTTTGTAACATCTCACTGCTATCTGGATCTGCCTATCGACTTTTAGTAAAGCAATCAGCATTTGGGTCCATGTTTTCAAGTAACTGAAGCCACTGATTTAGTTTAGAAAAAACTTCAGCTAATCTTTTCACTATAAAATGTTTTGACAATTTCTCTCCTTCCTCTTCCTCATTCTTTCTTTCTTCTTCAGCATTTCTTTCCTCTTCAAAATCCGTTAAGTCCTGATCTGTCAATTCCCCTTCTTCGTGATCTATGAGCTGTTCCATGTTGGTAATATCAAGTTCTAAATTCAGTGTTCTTGCCATATGGATGATTTTTCCACTGATCTCTTCCATCCTATTATCCTTATCAAATGCCCAGAGCATGTTCACATAACTCAGCAATTTTTTCCATACACCCTGCATGCATTTTCCTGTAACTTCTTCCCAGGAAGATGAAGTGTTCCGGATACACTGAGGAATATTATAATTCTTCCAGAAATCACGTCATGTTACCACACCTCCATCTGTTGCAGCTATTGCCTGAGCAAATGTAGTCTGTAGATAGTATGCCTTGAAGGTGGCGATTGCACCTTGATCCACAGACTGAATCACAGCTGTCGTTTTTGGGAGGTAGATACACCACTTTCACATCTTGATTTAGATCATCTACATGAAGAGGATGTCTTGGGCCCTTATTAAGTAGCAGCAGAATCTTGAAAGGAATGCTCTTCTCAAGGCAGTAAGCACACACTTCCGGGACAAAACAATCTAAAAACCAGTCTTCAAATAACACCATCATCATCCAGGCCTTGGAGTTATTTCTATAGTAGACTGGCAGCTTATTTTTGTCAATGTTTTTGAAATCTCAGGGGTTTTCAGAACGCAAACAAGAAAAGATTTTAATTTAAATCCAGCAGCATTTCCTCCAAGCAGCAGCGTGATTCTGTCTTTAAATGCCTTGAAACGAGGCATTGACTTCGCTTCTTTGTGAATATAGGTCTGTTCTGGCATCCTTTTCCAAAACAAGCCTGTTTTGTCTACGTTGAAAATCTGCTCTGGAAGATATTCTTCACCTTGTATTACCTCGTTCAGCTTGTGATTGACTTTTTCAGCAGCTTCAGCATCAGCACTTCCTGCTTTCCCAGTTATATGCACGTTAAGTAAGCCAAATCTGCGTTTGAAGTGATGAAACCAGCCCTCAGTGGCATTAAATACTCGTGGTAGTTTTCTCCTTGCTGTTCCTACAGGTTTCCAAAATGGCTGCGTGCTTCTGTTTGAATCATCAGTAAACTCACAGGAATCTCATTCTGGATTTGGTCTTCTATCCAAATCATCAACAAGCTTCCCCATCTCATGGATCAGTCCTTGCTTCTTCTTTGTTACAATTGTCAATTTTATGCCAATCACTCCTTTAACTGCCCCCAAAATCCTATTCTTATCCTTAATAATCGTCGAAACGGTTGAAGGAGACAGTCCTTCCTCATGCGTTATGTTGCCGACTTTCTTTCCATTATCAGAGGAGTTAATGATCATCTTTATATCCAGGTCTACAGCATTTCTCACCTTCTTATTTGGATTAGAATTTACAGTGGCATGACTTCTTTTGCTAGACATATTATTGGGGATATAAGCAGTGCAGGTGTTACAGTCAGAGAAATGTGAATGACTCAGCTTCAAATTAACAACTGATGCTTCTAATGGCACAAAACACCGAATAAGATCATGTTATAGGCCTGTTCTACGATGAAGTGAGCATCAGTGTCCGCCATAACATGAAGTTGGAGGTGTAATGGCTATTGGGTGGGTGCCAGTTCAATTGTTGTATGTCGTATGTTGTTAGGGTTGAATGTTTCCCAACTTTCTATCCATTGTGACTTCTGACACTGATACTGACATCACTGTAGACCAAGCCATAGCCTGCTATACAGCAGTGTTTTGAACGGTAAATCACAACATGGAACATGTGCAAGTGAACATCTGAGAATAATAACATCAGCAAATTACACGCTGCAACGCTGTATGCAGTACATATTACTAACAATGAGACGTACCAAAAAAAACAGATGGTCATAAGTGCAGTTTGTTGTAACTAGAATACATCATAAGTCAGGGACTACCTGTAGTCACATGTAGACTTAGTTCCCAAGGACTCCTTCTTGCTTCCTCAAATCAAATCTACCCTTGAAGGTTGGTAGCCTTAAGCTCAAAACTGTGAGCCACAGGATGCTCTAAAGAAACTCGCACAGGCTCCAAAGGCCATTTCCAAGAGCCTTAAGCAATGGCAGCCTCCGGACAATATGTGTGTTTTGGGAGGAGGGAGGTGACAGCTGGAAGCCCCCAGCTCTCTTTTGGTGGGCAAGCCAAGGGGAAAAGCAAGAATCAGGTCATGCTCACTCCTTGCTCCTTGGCGCCCAGTAGCACACCAGCCATATTGTAGGCAATCAGAATTGTTGACCAGACCTTTTCTAGAACATCCTAGCATACATTGATCACATCCTGTAGAAGCAGCAAATGTTCTCATAAGGGATTCCGACACTACGAAACACATTTTAACTCTTTTGTGTTGGCAAATGATGAAGCACTTACAAGAGTGACTAGGCATCTGTGGTGACTGGTGTGGCAATGTGCATGGCCTGTGTTGTCTAAAAGGAGAAGGCTGGGAGCTGCATTGCCAGGTGCCCATGCTGCAGAACTTCCAACTGGGCATAGGGATGTCACTGGGCCTCGGGGCTTGCAGCACGTGGCCCGAGAGATGCAACCAAAGAGTCTTCCTTAACTCAACACCAAAGTTTGAAACCAGACTTAACTCTTCCTGGAGGGGCAGATTTTCTTCCATCTAAAGACTTAATGTTCTCCTTTTCACACTTTCCTTCTCAACTCAGAGACAGGAAAAAAAGCCTGTAATTTGGGAAGTAGCTTTCTTAAAACAAAAACAAAAAAACTAAAACTCAAAGTCGATATATTCCTAGCAACTATAATACAATTGTGATATTTTTAATCTCACAGATTAAGTTATTAAGAAAGTGTCTGCATATTTTCTAAAAGGGCTTTTTGGTATAATCTGTACATATTTTATTTATGTTACTTAAGTGGAACAACCAAAGAAAGCCAGTTTATCTCAGAGAAGTTTGAGACATAAGAAAGAAATGAAGTAGTCCCTTGTTGTCGCTGCTGCCTGTGTGGGGAGGCAGCCCTCGGTTTCTGTCTTTCCAGAAGGACCCCTGGTGTTCCTCTCAACCTAGCAGTCCAGTTCTGTACCTACAAAGAAGCTTAGCTTTTTGCTTCAATACAGCCTCCATGTGAATTCTGCAGGCATCCCTGCCCACTTTTGTTGTCCCTAAATGGGGGATGGAATCCCTGGGTGGTACTAACAGTAAATGCACTCAGCTGCTAATTGAAAGTCCACCCAGAGGCGCCTCAGAAAATAGGTCTGGCAGTATAGTTCCAAAAAGTCAGTCACTGAAAACCACAGGGAACATACTTCTACTCTGACACACATTGGGTTGCCACAAGTCAGAACTGACTCAATGGCAACTGGTACTGGTAATTGAGGCTCAAGCCGATGGATGGTCAATCAAGTGAGGCCAGGCACGGTACACCCATGTCTGCGTGGACTTCCTTGCACAGGAAGCTCCTGGCATCACTCTCCTCCCTAACGCTGGGCATAAGACCATTTAGAAGCAGCTTCAAACACAGGTTAGCTCTTTCCCAATGGGCACATTATTTGGTGGGGGAAAGTGGCAATAATGAATTTTCTTGGAAGTTGTAAGACTTTAAATTACCTAGGATTTCAGTGTGTTATGATATTATTAATAATAATAGTAATAATAGTGCCTGATACCTATTGCACCCTTACTTCCTGCCAGGCACTGTGTAAAGCGCTTCACATGTATCTTAAGCTGAGTTCTCTAGAAAAGTAAAACCAGTATATATATATATATATATAGAGAGAGAGAGAGAGAGAGAGAGAGATTTATCTCAAAGAAATGGTTCACTTGGTTGTAGAGGGTGGCAAGTCCCAAGTCCATGGGTCAAGTGTCAGGCTAGAGGCTTCTCCTGACTCACATAGCTGTAAGGGCTGAAGAACGCAAGATGGGCAGGTCAGACAGCAGGTCAGACAGCTGGCTAACGGGCTGCGGAGGCTGATGAATCCAAGATCAGCAGCCAATACAGCAGGCCCCTGGCTCAAGTCCCAAGAACCAGAGGTCAGATAATGACAGGCTGAATGCAGGATCCAGAGCAAGGAAGCAAGCTTCACCAGATGTCCATGTGTATGTATGTAGGCCACACCCCTCAGGAAACTCCCCGTACAATTGATTGGCTGATCACATCAGATCACATCACAGAGGATAACTACATCATTACATAACTGCCAAACCACTGAGCATCACGGACGAGCCAAGCTGACACACTACCTTAACCATCACCACATGCAAGAGCGCATTTAATCCTCACACCTTGGAGGGAGGTTACAATCATCTGTTCCCATTTTACTGATGAGAAAACTGAGGCTCAGACAGGTGGCTCCAGTTCTGATTTCCAAGCCTGAATTCTCAACCAATTCTTCCCTACTTCCTCTCCAAGGAGAAACACCTTTTCCCTCTCCCATATCAGCTACAGGCTGGATTCAGCTTTACCTGGTCACGAAGACAGCCGCATCCACAGGGGGCGTATCATCCTTCCCTCCTGGAACCTGGTTGTTGCCGAGATACCGCGCTCCTCCATATTCCTCATTCTGCCAGTGACAGAAGCTCTCCAGGGACCGCTCACCGTGGTGCCCAATGGACAATTTGGCCTGAGAGAAATCAGGAGGCAATCAGAGGAGCAAACTCCCACAGAAGCCAGAGTTTATGTCTAGACTATGGTGTAGAAGTTAAGGTTGAGACAGTTCCTCACTGAGACATCTTTCAATGACGCACTGCTCCCAGTAAGAACCTAGCACTAGTGGGTATGCAGCAGATACCCACAGACAGACCGTCAGGGGCCTTATGAAGTTCAAATGAAGACTAGATTATCAGAGAAACATCCTTTCTGCAAACAGAATGGTGTAAAAAATCAAGCATCAGTCCTTCAATCTCATGTCTATTGCCTGACTCTGCAGGTAACACTGTCATGTGGGAAAGCACTCAATTGAAAACCAGAAAGTGCTACAGTAAGTCCACATTTGGGTCGAAGCTCAGGTACAGCCCCAGCAGGGTTGCCAAGTTTCCAAAGCCGTCACTACCCAGCCGTTCCGGCTAGCTGGCAGCCCAGTGCAAGACATGCCAGAGTGAAAGAGAAATGCACACAGCCCCACTGCTAAGGGCTCCCCTGAGATCCTGAGCAGAAAAGCACACCCCATGCTTCAGTAATGGTGCCCGCCCTGCTCTCATCCCACCATCCCTGGCCCCTGGCCCAGGGCACACTGTTGTCTCCTGCAAAGCCAGGGAGGGAGAATAAGACAGACAGCCACCTGGACGCCTCCATAGCACTCAGGGGCAACCAGGGAGCTTCGAGAAGAGTTACTTTTTCTGTGTGCTCTGAAAGGTGCCTCAGGGGACTTACAGGACGTTGTCGTAGCAGGACAAGCTTTGTAACTTGAATGTTAACTTTAATTCCGAGGCTCTGGTGCTGAAACATATTGTATACCTATCAAGAGAGAAAAAAGAAATTGATGAAGATATAAGTTTTTAAAAAAATACAGTAGTATCGTGGATGGGATCCTGAAACTGTAAAAAACGACATTAGGTAAAAACTGAGGAAATCTGAAAAATGTATGGACTTCAGTTAATAATGAAGTATCAATACTGGTTCATTAATTGTAGCCAATGTACCATAATAATATAAGATGTTAATAATAGAAGAAACTGCATTTGGGGGAGGGGTTAGTATACAGGAATGCTCTCTACCATCTGCTCAAACCTTCCATAAATCTAAAAGTGTTCCAAAAGCATAAATTCTATTAACTGAAAAAAAATTATTAAAAATGCAGCTTACGCTCTTCCAGTCCAAAAAAAAAATCAAAGACTAACTATGTGAAATTCAAATTTCAGTGTCCATAAATAAAGTTTTATTGGCACATATAAAAATACATATGTATGAGAAATATAACCCAGATTTTATTTAAAAGGCTTTCTGAGACCAAATAAACTCCCTTAAAACTGAAACTTCCCCTCATAAAAAAAATGTATGTGATTAAAAAAAAAACACCTCTGGAATCACACACATGTATACAAATACATACACACATACACTTACACAAAACTAAGTTGGACATCAGTATACAGGAAGATGTATAGAACAAGTGATTTTTAAAAAAAAGAAATAGAGTTTTAGATGATCCTGGCAGGAAGCTCAAAACTCCAGTCCTGGGCTTTCCTGCAGGAGTTGGAGAGGAGCTGTATGATGCAGAGAGAGAGACCTGCCTTCTGGGCACCGGCTGCGTGCCGGCCTGTCCTGGGCACATCGCAGGATCATCTCCAGACCTCACCACTACCTGGCACATCGCAGGATCATCTCCAGCCCTCACCACTACCTGGCACATTGCGGGTTCATCTCCAGCCCTCACCCACTACCTGGCCAGGTGGATGTCTCCACCTGCTCTCAGCCACAGACACCAGCTCAGTGAGGCAAACAAACAGGACCTGTAGCCAGCTGATGACCCAGATCCAAACCCAGGTTTGTCCAGCCAAAAGGTCCATATTCCTTTCTTTATTCCCTGAATTCCTCATTCTAAATAAAGTCTGTCACTGAGATAAAGTTCTAGTCACAGAAAAGGGTCTGTCGTTCTCAATTTTGCACCTCTTGTTGGCAGAACACAATAACAGACCTTAGTATCAAGAAGCCAAAGGGAGGTGTTACGAGGTGAAGAGATGTAGGAAGCTTCAAACAAGACAGAGGAACCAAAGATTATGTGGATGGGAAAAAAAAAAAAAAAAAACCCTGTAAGACTTGAGGAGCCCTTGAGGAGCCCAAGATCGTTATGACCCTCCCAAGTCTCTTTTCAGTAATATGGAGACAGCAGAACCCAGAAAGGTAAAGTGGGGAGGTGATAAAGGGCATAGTGTAAGATATGGGGAAGTCCCCAGGTGGTACAAATGGTTAACGCACTTGGCTGCTAACCAAAAGGCTAGAGGTTCAAGTCCACTCAGAGGTGCCTCGGGAGAAAGGCCTGGTGATCTACGTCCAAAAAATCAGCCACTGAAAACTCTATGCAGTACCATTCTACTCTGACAGACATGAGTTAAAAACCAACTCCACGGCAACTGGTGGTAAGATATGGAGGGAACAGGGGATCGGAACCTCTTTAATATTCCACTTGGTTTTTTCTTGTAGACACAACTAGAAGGGAGACTTTTCCAGCAAGAGCACCGAAAATTACTCCACTTTGTGCTGCATTTACACCATCAATATAGCAGCAGCAACACAAACCAACAACCACAGCAGGCAACATAGCCAGGGTCAGTTCAGGCAAAGTGACACTGGTCAACAACTCAGTGTCCACCACACACGTGCTGGAAGCTGAGCACGAGCAGCATTTGAACATCTGTGGGGAAAAGGGATTAGGTACGTTACTGCTGGATTTTTACTCTCTAAAAACTACTATTAAAGTTAAATAAGACGCATCACTGTCTAATATTTTCTCCCACAAGGAAAAATAGAATGCGTTCAGTTGTTCTGTTCTCACTTCATTTTTTTTTTTTTTTTTGTCAGAATTTCTTTTCCTCAGGAACAAAATAGCAGTTATTTATTTCCTACTGGACCAGCCACGGGCCAATTCTAAAGTCATCTCTTAATCATGTATACCCAAACCTGCGTGAAGAAGGGCAAAGCACATAACTTTTTCCTTGTTTCTATATTTCAAGAACCACCCAACGGCTGCAATTCACATTTTTCCGAAAATATTCACCATTAGGACCGGGCCCAAACTGGAAAACCTCAGTTCACGAAATTTCAAAACATGAACATTGAGGAGAATGAAAACTGGAGGTTATGAGACAGAATTCAAATGGTATAGTGTTTCATGGTGTAACCTAAATACCCAATGCCTGTCACATCGATGCCAGCCAAACACCACAGACATTAAGAAATATTGTAGGCTTAAGGAAATAACCTGGTAAAGTGATTCTCAGGGATACTCTGACAGGCCACATGAAAAAGAGTAAAGGACCCACATGGAATGACGTAAGTTTCAGGAAAAACAAAACAACAGGAAGACATGTGCTTACCAGAGTCTCTTGTTTTCATCTTGCTGGCTAACAGTTCAGAATTATGTGCATTCCATACACACTGACCCCAACACTCAGTCAGTCACTTCCCTTGGAGCTTGCTGTTAGCTGCTGTTCAGTTGGCCCCCAACTCATGGTGACCCCATGCACGACGGACAAAACATTGTCCCGTCTAGTGCCATCCCAATGATGTGGATTAGACCATTGTGTTCCATACGGTTTTCACTGGCTGATTTTTGGAAGTAGATTGCCAGGCCTTTCTTCCTATTCTGTCTTAATCTGGAAGCTCTGCTGAAACCTGTTCAGCATCATAGCAATATGCAAGCCTCCAGAGACAGATGGGCAGTGGGTGTACATGAGGTACATCAGCTGGGAATTGAACCCAGGCCTCCACATGGAAGGCGAGAATTCTGCCCTTGAACCATCATTGTCCTCCGAGCAAATGTACACAAAAAAAGATGTGCAATGGAAGGGAGAAAAAAGCTTCAAGCTCTAAATCATGTTCTCTAATAAGGCTGTAAAAAGGCGTTTCCTTCTGACACATAACTAGGGCATCCCCACCCAAAACAGTAGGTATCAGAGCCCGACCACCAGATACAGTGCTGTGTCTGCCGCCTGGCGTGTGCTGTCCAACACCAGCACAGCCCCACAGAGCAGGAGGACACAGGGGACTCCATATCTGGCTGCCCAGCCAGGCCCACCAGGCGAAAATCTGACAACAGCCACAACACACTCGGCAGTGGGCCCCCGAGACATGTACAAACTCTCCCCGCTTCTTCCCATGGAAACTCGGGCTCAGGAGCAAACTCGGAGGCTGTGGCCACCCACTGTTAAGGGAGACACCTGGTCGGCCTGAGAACAGCACAGCCAATCGTCTGGAAAGTCTGTCTCCGGCCTCCAGATGTGGCCACGTCCCAGGCAAGTGTTCGGACCCTGGCTATGTGTGTCACATTTCCTTGGCAGCCAGGGGCCGAGCCAGCCGGCCTGCTGCCAGCAGTGCACCAAGCTCTCCAGGCTGGGCAATGGGGGAGCACGGCAGGGGGTGGGCAGGGACCAGGGAAGGAACAGATGACGGGCTGTGGGAGGAGTTGCCCACAGTGCAGCCCGTCTTCACAAGAGCATGCCTTTCTCGGGGCTGGGTGCTCTGCGGGACCCTCACACTTCACCCTCAGGGCCCATCCCCACGAATGGGAAAGGCTGCATTCTCCAGCGCAGTGGCTCCCCGAATGCGGTCCCCAGACCAGCAGCATCAGCACTTGGAAATGCCAAGTTCTCACCCCTGCCCCCCCGAGACCTGCTGACTCAGAAACCCCGGGGGGCCCCTGACCATCTGTGTCTGACAGTCCCTTGGGGGCTCCTGTTCCACTGGAGTGTGAGAACCCCGGCTGGGGTATAATGCTAGTTACACCTGTAACCAGAGAGCAGCGCCTTGTCTGTTTCACATGGTAATTGAGTAAAATTTATGTCATTTTTCCTCCAAAGAGAACTTGCCTGGAACGTCTTAGGTTTTTCATTCCATTCCATGGTTGTTAAGGAAGCTAAAAACAACCAAAGCTCTGTGGAGCAGCCTGGCTTTCCAATTGGGCTGCCCAAACCAGGGTTTCCGGTGTCAGCACTACCTGTCTCTATCTGCAGTGTATTCCTTACCCCTTTACCTGTGACCCCATCACCCCAAGCAAACGCACATCAAGTTAGTCCCTAAGAAGGCATCGAGCCACATTTGGAGGACAGACAGACACAAGCCCAGGCGCCCTTCAGCTGCTTGGTGCCAGCTCGAAGACACCCCTGGAAGGGGCTTCTTCCTCTGCAGTCCTTGCGCAGGTAAGTGGTTTCCAGGGGCACTGATGCTTCTTCCACAGCCTGGAGAAAGACATTCTGGAGAGAAGCTGGCAACCACACCAGCAGGCTTTCTCCTGGGTCCAAGCCCCCAGCAAGCATGCTCTGACGGGGACATGTGGTTCACTGGCTTCACGTTCCCACTCGCTGCTCCTGGGGGCTTATCTGATGACCACCCCCCTGCCACCCCCAGCTACAACCATTCCCATCCTCCAGGCTTAAAGGTATCTTACTTATAGCAGAAACAGCCACCAACACCACCACCACCAGTTGCTGTCAAGCCAACTCCGACTCATGGCGACCCTATGGGTGTCAGAGTAGAACTGTGTTCCATAGGGTTTTCAACGGCTGATCTTTTGGAAGTAAATCACCAGGCCTTTCTTCTGAAGCACCTCTGGGTGGACTTCAGCCTCTGACCTTTCAGTTAGTAGCTGTGCATGTTAACTGTTTTCACACTCAAGGACTTCAAAACAGCCACAGGAAAGGGAATTCTTTTAATTTCCTAGGGTTTGAGGGATTGAAGAATGGCAGCTGCAGTGGGGGGAAGGGGAGCTTGTTAAAACAAGGCGTAATGTCTGAATGTCA